TTAACACATAAAGTTAACCATCACAGTGACCAGCAGTAAGAAACATATTTACATCACACTCAATACATATGGATATATTGGGTGAAACGAGTCTCGCTAAACAGTGCTTATCTTTTCTACATGTGACACACTAATATTTTCTCTATTTTACTTCATTAAAAAAAGCATGTGTGACCACCCAGTTGGTTTCTAGGCTCGTGGTAGGTTGTGACTTCTACTTTGAAACACCATCCTAGAATAGAATATATTGTCCAATGTTCTATTACCCTATAGTTAAGGGTCTTCAGATCAGGACTCTGTCCAGAGGGCCAGGAAATGTTCTGTGAGTAACTGAACGAGACCCCAAAACTCTCCAAGTCCTAGCATGATTGCATGTGACCTCAGACAAGACCTGTACCTGCTCATGCCTTAGTTTCCTCATCTGTAAAGGGGGTATACTTACAAATACCTCATCTACCTAACAGGGTTGTCGAGAACAAAAAAATCAAAGCAAGGGAATGTATATGAAAACAATTTGTAAACTCTAAAATAATTTCATGAGGTAATTGGTATTTTAAACTAGTCTGTAATAACTTTCTTCTCTAGCACTCAGGAATCTGAGAGGATGATGCTATTTCATGAAAATTAGTTTGAGCTCTTCAAAACTTGCTGCATAAAACAAAGACAGCCCCAATTTATTTAATCAAAATGATGATCAGCTTCTAAAAATGAGTTCCATCTCCCCCGGGACTACTCAGATTTAAAATTTGATTTCAAAGAAGAGAAAACTGCCGTGTGTTTGGGTCTGATTCAGAGTCTTTCAGTTCTCTGCCTTCTGGCTCCTTCCCACCCTACCTGGTTATGAAATCCTTGGGGCAATTTTGGGGATGACTTGGTCACATTATGTGCCTTTAAGAATTAGGGTTAAGCTAAATGTCACCTCTAATACTTTCTTTTGAAACCAGCTAAACGAAGATTTCAGAGTGAAATTGTTGGTAGCATTTGAAATTGGGGTGGGGGTTGTCTGGGTTGGGGTTACCACTTACAAGGACTGATGTTCTGGAAGGGAAATTCCTCTGGAAGCTCCAGCTTTGCCAGGTCATAGCAGCCTTGGGCAGCCCTGGGGGGCAGGGGACTGGCAGCTCTGCCTACCCGTGGATCTGGAGCAGGGCTGGGAGCGCTGCCAGTGGGTCACCTCTGTGCTGGTGCCTGGTGGGGTCCTTAGTGAGGCTAGCTGGAGCCCACATCCTTGTTTTCCCCCCTTTCTTGCCTGTTTATTTTCTAATCAGTCCCTTTTGTGGTGTATAAAATGAGGCTGGTTATTCCCATCACACATTATTGTTTCGGTGGGTCCCCTCCCCTCCAGGCACAATAATTTCACCATCTCCAGATGAGGGTGATAAGTGTTTGAGATGCATAACTGTGTCTCATTTCAGTGCCTAATAGGAGATGGAAAATGAGCCATGGCACCTTTCTGCTCGGTAAATTCATAATTACAGTTTTCCTTGTCTCGCCTCTTGCAGACTAGAGAACTGTTGGTTGGCTGTGCATCTGTGAGCGTGTATAGAAGGTGGGCCGTGGGGGCAGGCACAATCCCTGGTGTGTGGCAGGTTCTGATACAGGGACTGCCGAAAGTTCCCTCCAGAAGGGTTAGTGGCGGGGCCCTGACCTGCACCTGCCTGTCTGGAATGAGGATTACCAGCTTTGCTGGAATTCGGTTGTTGGCAAAGATGTTTTGAGAACTGTGTTAGCCAACGGAGCATATGGTGCCTAAACAGCAGTCTCTTTCATACAAAGGCCAGGGAGCAGATGCTGGAGTGGGCTCAGATAAAGTCAGAAGAGAAGCCATAAGGGCAGAAAGAGCACTGGACTGGCAGTTGGGGCCCTGAGCTTACTTTCATTTCTGTCTTAACTGTGTGATTTCCTGCAAGGTCATTTGACCCCTCTGGATTTCAACTTCCTTGTCTCTGAAATCAGGGATTTGGAATCATAAAACTGGGTATATCTTTCAGATCGTAAACTTCTGGTTTCTTCTCTGATATTTGAATTTGTACAGGCAATTCAACATGAACCATCCTGATGCCTCATCACTCTAGTTACCATCTCATTATCATAATCATAATCCTTCTAATCCCATTTCAACCTTGTTAACAATAACGCCACCCAAACTATCATTTAATAAGCACCTGCTTTGTGCCAGACAGAGGTCCCGTGCCAGGTGCTTTGCAGTCATTAGCACTTTTAGAGGTAAATAGTAGTACCCACTTGGTAGGTGCTCTCTACTGGGGTATGCCCGGTGGGTCAGAGGGGCTTGGATTTTCTCCTGGTATTGGTGTGTGATATCCTGACATTTCTGTGTTTGGGACTTACATGAACTCAAAAGGGCCTCCAAAGACTTGATGTTCTGGGCTCTGGAATTGTGCACTTCTAGAAGAGTATGGTTTTGCAGTGATTCAAACCTGGGTTTCAACCCCAACTCTAGCATTTATTAGCCACGTGTCCTTGCAGAGCTAAGGTTTCCTCACCTGAAAAATGGGTCAAACAATCCTGACCCCAGAGAATAGTTGTAATAATGATGTGAGTTAGTTTGTCTGAAAGCATTTGCATGGGGTGCAGTAAATGCTGCACCAGTGTTGATATTCCTCTTTGCTCCCAGCCCGTCTTTCCGCTGGTGAAGACGTAGCAGTTGAGTTCCACTCTGTGCTGGGTCAGGTGCTCCGGGTACACTGGTGAGCAAGGCAGACTCTGTCCTCCCTCCTGGAGCTCACAGACCCTCAGTGTTAGGCTGTCCTTTGGCAAAGGCTAAGGCTAAGTTAACCAAAATGTGTGTGTGTGTGTGGCAGGGGTCTCCTCTCTGGGAGCCTTTGCTCTCCCAATTTTCATTTACACTTCTGTCCTCAACGTGCATTTTAGTCCCGACCTCCCTTTGACATCGTGATAGGGCTTGTGGCTGTCTCCTTTCAGCCTTATCTTCTGCATCTTTCATGAACTGTGTTCTTCAGGCATACCGTTCCTAGTGTACACCTTGGTTTGACATGCCCATGCCTTTGCTATGTGGACCTGCCCTGAGGAGGCCTTTCCCTTCCAGCTCTGCATGTCCTCTCCAAGTTCGTGGCTCGGCCCACTTTCCCCTTCCTCCCCAAGGCCTCCCCTGGCCTGTTCCTTGCTTCTTGCCTGTCCCAAGTTAGCAGTCTTCTTTTCTCAGATGAACTTCCAAAGCACTCTTTTGTAAGTCATGTAACTTTTGATCATATGCAGTAATTTAGGTTCTGTAACATCTACATGGCTTGACTACAAGATCTTCGACGACCTGATCCCTGGGTTTGCAGGGTCTTGCACATTTTGCATGTGCTCTGAGCAAACATTTGCCATGTGGGTGAATGAACGAAGGCCCCTGGCTTGCAGGGCTGCTGTTGGTTGTGGGAGCTCTGTCTGTCAGAGTCCTTTGATATTTATTTCAGAAGACCCGGTTTTCCATTGGGATGTTGGCTAACAATGTAACATCTTTATTTTCTTTTCTTGCTTCATTTTTGGTTTCCCTCTAGCCTCGTGGTCTCTCCCTGCTGGGGAGTCTTCAGTTGTTTAATGGTCCACCTCTTCTCATTCCCCATTTTTGATGGGTTGAGGGGTGAATGAAAAAATTCTACAGAGCTGAGATTCCCCCAAATAAGACATTGGCAATTCCTGCCCTGATTTCTCTCCAACTGGAAGAAATACGAAACTGGCCACTGGAAACGCACGCAGAAGGAATCTTGAATGGAAATGAAGGAGACCATTAGGATGGAAAGCGATTTTGTTCCGCAGGGATTTATTTATTTATTTATTTACTTGACTGCTTCTTAAAGCATTTTTTCACTCCCTTTAATGAAATCCTCTTAGAGGAGGCCCCACTATGGGAGACAGCCAAGATCTGCCTTGTTAAAATGACATTAGGACTCAGAGCTGGACAGTGCACCCAGAGGCCTGGTTGCTTCTGCCGGCTATACAGCCTCGTTGGTGCAAGGCTGGGGTAAACCAAGGTGGTTCAGCATGTGAGAATGAGAAGTTACCACAGACTTACTCTACTTGGGTTTGAATCCATCTCTACTACTGTTAGCTGTGCAAATTACATAACTTCCCCAAGCTCGCTTTCCTTAGCTGTAAGGTGCAGATACGTCCTTCCAAGACCTACTAGTCAGAGTCCCAGCAGGAAATAAATGAAATACACAAATTTGGCCATCTGAGCAAAATTAATAAAGGGACTCTTCATAGAAGTGTGGTTCCTTAAGGGGCAGTGCATTATTTGGGGACAGTAACAGTGAAGCTCACACTACCACCTCTATGGCAGATGGGGTCCAGCAGGAGATGGTTCAGAGGTCCTGGAGACAGGGAGGCTGTGTGGAGATGCCTGCTGCAGGGAACTCTGGATAAGGCTCACAGCCAGTGCAGGCACCCTGCTCCTTTTACCCGCCCCCCCCTCCAGCCTTCTGCTGCTGCTGCCTGCTGGCTGCACCCAACCAGGCCCCAGACAATAGCCCACTGGTGTAGGGTCCGTGCAGGCTAGCCTCTTGGGCACAGAGAAGGGTGGTCAGTGGATCTGGAGAAGCAGACAGAAGGTGCCCTGCACTGAAGGGTTTGTTAAGATGGAATAAGACAGTCTCTGGAAGGTGCTAGACAGTGACTGACACAAAGTCAGGCACTTGGTAGGCAAGGGCTTTTGATTATCATTATCATTACCATCATCATCATCACTATTATTATTATAATCAGAGTCACTATTATTATTATAATTATCATTACTTTTGTTATTATTACTATCCTCACTATTGTTATCACTGAAGTGTTCTCCTGGGGCTGCTGCCATCCAGTCCTGACTGTCTCACACACCCATGGTGGGGGTCGGATCCGTCAGCCTCTAGCTTCCCCCAATGCAGTTCTGTTTGGTGTGTTCAGAATGCCCTGAGTCCAGCGAGACAAGCTGTGGGGTGGAATGGAGACACTGCCATGTTATGTAGCATCACAGTCTTTCCTTTCTCTGGTAGGGGACACTGCACTCCTGACTCCTGGCCCTTGAGGAGACAGCTGTGCCCAAGTGCTGCTGTGCTGCAAGGACCCATCTCTGCAATGAAAGCCATGCCTTGGAACTGGACTTGCCTGCTCTCCCACCTCCTGATGGTAGGGATGGGCTCCTCCACCCTGCTCCCCCGGCAGCCACCCCCGCTGTCCCAGAAGCGGTCTTTCATCACATTCCGAGGGGAGCCCACTGAGGGCTTCAATCACCTGGTGGTGGACGAGAGGACAGGGCACATTTACTTGGGGGCCGTCAACCGGATCTATAAGCTCTCCAGTGACCTGAAGGTCCTGGTGACCCACCAGACGGGGCCAGACGAGGACAACCCCAAGTGTTACCCACCCCGCATCGTGCAGACCTGTAATGAGCCCCTGACCACCACCAACAACGTCAACAAAATGCTCCTCATAGACTACAAGGAGAACAGGCTGATTGCGTGCGGGAGCCTGTACCAGGGCATCTGCAAGCTCCTGAGGCTGGAGGACCTCTTCAAGCTGGGGGAGCCTTTCCACAAGAAGGAGCACTACCTGTCGGGAGTCAACGAGAGTGGCTCGGTCTTTGGAGTGATTGTCTCCTACAGCAATCTGGACGACAAGCTCTTCATTGCCACGGCAGTGGATGGGAAGCCCGAGTACTTTCCTACCATCTCCAGCCGGAAGCTGACCAAGAACTCAGAGGCAGATGGCATGTTCGCTTATGTCTTCCACGATGAGTTTGTAGCCTCTATGATTAAGATCCCCTCGGACACCTTCACTGTCATCCCTGACTTTGATATCTACTATGTCTACGGTTTTAGCAGCGGCAACTTTGTCTACTTTTTGACCCTTCAGCCTGAGATGGTGTCTCCCCCAGGCTCCACCACAAAGGAACAGGTTTATACATCCAAGCTAGTGAGGCTTTGTAAGGAGGACACCGCCTTCAACTCCTACGTGGAGGTGCCCATTGGCTGTGAGCGCAGCGGGGTGGAGTACCGCTTGCTGCAGGCTGCCTACCTGTCCAAAGCAGGGGCTGTGCTTGGCCGGACCCTGGGAGTCCGTCCAGATGACGATCTCCTCTTCACTGTCTTCTCCAAGGGCCAAAAGCGGAAAATGAAATCTCTGGATGAGTCGGCTCTGTGCATCTTCATCCTGAAGCAGATCAATGACCGCATTAAGGAGCGGCTGCAGTCGTGCTACCGGGGTGAGGGTACGCTGGACCTGGCCTGGCTCAAGGTGAAGGATATCCCCTGCAGCAGCGCGGTGAGTCCTGGGACGGCCTGTGGGCTGGGTGGTAGGGTGGAGGGTGAGGCCCCTAAGCTTGTAGCCTATGTGGGGCGTGTGTCAGCCTTCCCTTTTTGCAGATGGGACGAGTATATTCCATCTCTGGGTCTCGTTGGACTCAGGATGACCAGATCAAACACTCTGTGACTGTGTCACTGAGCGTGTAAGAGTCAGAGCTGAAGCTAAAATGTAGGTTTCCTGTTGGGGCATTCTGCTCTATTCCATAATGGCTCACTGGTTGAGAGACGGAGTGTTGGGAACAGGTGGGAATGTGTTAAGTAGGTATCGTATGCACCAGGCATGGCTGAAAGCCAGATTATAGTGTGCCTCAGTGTAAGACGTGTAGTCACCCTTGTTACTGCCCAAGCCTGTGTATCGCTTTCCTGGGAGCTTAGAATAAACCATGGGGGGAGGAGGGAGAAGAGAATGTGAGGAGTCATTCTACATTTGGGATAGATACGCAGGCATGGCTGAAAGCCAGATTATAGTGTGCCTCAGTGTAAGACGTGTAGTCACCCTTGTTACTGCCCAAGCCTGTGCATCGCTTTCCTGGGAGCTTAGAATAAAACCATGGGGGGAGGAGGGAGAAGAGAATGTGAGGAGTCATTCTACATTTGGGATAGATACGGGATTTCAGGAGCATTACATTTTTACCCCCTTGTGCACCTTTAGGAAATGGCAAATTGAGGGCAGAGTAAGGTAGGAGTCCAGTGAACATCCAGGGGAAAGCAGAAGTTGCTTAGAAAGGGGATGGGAGGAGCAAACCGTATTTATTAGGCATCTTCTGTGTGCACAGTGCAATGGAAGAAACGTGTCATGAAGGCAGGAAACAACCAGAGAGCAGGCTGGGGAACAGAAGTGCTGTAGGAAACCAGAGGCAGGGCAGAATGAAGGGTTGGTTTAGGGGCCATCCTGTGGTAGACCTCAGGCAGGGTGACCACAGGTAAAACAGGGGCCACCGCCTCCTGCTTCTGCCAACCTAACTCACTTGTGACCCTGCAGAAAAAGCATCTGCCCTTCTGTGGCTTGACTCCTGTTCATCTTTACAATGATACCTTTTTTTTTTTTTCACAGTCATTCTTCAAGCGACTTGAAGCTGTTAGCATCTGCTATGCCTATGCTACTTTCCTTTTTTTTATTGTCCATTTTAAAACTTATGAACCTTGTCTGAGACACGGTCATTCTTCAAGCGACTTGAAGCTGTTAGCATCTGCCATGCCTATGCTACTTTCCTTTTTTTTATTGTCCATTTTAAAACTTATGAACCTTGTCTGAGAAAATCTTTCTTGTAATTTCAACTTGGGGAGAAGAAAGGAAAATTCACCCATCAGATAGAAGTATACATCTGTATTGATGTGATTCTTGACTCCCGCTCAAACTTTGGTGCAGTTGCGTATTAGGAAAGTGTATTTTGACTTATTTAAAAAGAGTAGGTTTTTCTTCATAAAGTGTAACTACTTGCCGAGCAGATCTCAGAGGGCACTGGCACCCTTCTCCCCCGCCATGTGCTGAGACCACTTCTCTGGTCACTGGGATTCGGGGTGGGGGCAGGGAAGAGGGGTCAGAGAGAAGGACTCTGCAGTTTGCCTTTGACATTTAGGCTCTGGCTGTTTTTCAGTGGCAAGGTTTCCAGGCACCTGGGCTGAAACTAAAAGATGTCATTCCTTCTTGGAGGTCCTGAAAATCCAGGAGACCTCTAATATCACAAAGGAAATGGGAGAGATACTGTTGGCCAATCAGGGCCGCAACAAATTGACAAATCAGAGCCCGCCCAGAGAATTGAGGGGACTTTGTGGTACCCAGTGAGCCCTCCTAGCAGGTCACTTAACCATGAGAAATGCCTTCTGGGGCCTTCTGTTTTGGGTAGTAGCTGATTCAGTCAAAAGAATCTATGAGACAGGGTCATGAACTTGGGGGGCCACAGACTGCTCCCAATTGAAGGCGCTGGATGTATGTACATGACACACTCAGGCAACACAGGCCCACGGGAGACGCACTGGAGTGGTTGGTGAGCAGGCCCTGAGACAGCCCCTGGTCTAAAACTTCATTTTACATGTAAATACCTTGACACCCAGCAAGGTGAATGAACTGCCCAGCATCACACATCTTATGAGTGAGTAGCGGAGCCAGCACTTGAGGAGAATCCCCCTGCCTGCAGGGCTCACACGCTTGCATACGTGCAGTTAATACCCCCACAAGCACACACACATAGGAAATGGCAAGTTTATGCAGTGTGCCTGCTAAATAGCGACTATTTCTTTTGAGATCAGAGGGGTTGGCAATCCCTGACTCTTTTCTATAGAAAACTTACTTAAAACCCTGCTTTTGGGGGCAATGCTTTTGGGAGCAAAATCAGCAGCAGGGATCCATCTGGCTGCCCGTGGGCAGGTGTTTCTCCTGCCCTTGCTCCCTGCCACAGTACAAAAGCCAAGTTCATCATGGAAGTCTGCAGAGCTGCAGGTCCGAACTCCGCGTGGTGGCCTTGGAGAGAACAGAGGGGAAACAGCTTTGTGAGACAGGCCAGTACCAGGACTGGGAGTAATGGAGCCAGATAACATGCTTTTGATTTTTCTTTTGGCTTTAATTAGCCCTTTCAAGTTAGAGGCAAGTTCAGGACTGAGAGTAGAAAGTAGGAGGCCAGAAACTCTGCACAGGGCTGGGCTGTCTCCCCAGCCAGTCTAAAAAAGGCCAGGCCGGCTTTTAATGCACAGTATCAGTTTCCTTTGATTTGGCCGATATCCGAGTTTCTTTGCTCTGGCCCTCTGGTTACAATTCATTTGGACTCAGCTCAGACCACACATATTTCACACGACGTTCAGCCAGACCAGACTTGAGCTGCCCCAAGGAAGAGCTGTCAGCACCGTTTGCAAACCCAGCTTTCCCTCGACCCATTCACAAGGCCGTGGCTTGGTTTTCTTTTCCCTTCCTGCCTAGAGGCAAAGGATGGACCAGATGAACTCTGGAGTGCCCTTTTGCCTCCAAGTCTGAGACTTCCTTGGGGGTGGCGATTGGGAACTGAATCTCAGATGGCTTCTGTCCTGTGGCGTTTCTGCTCTAGGAAGATGGTGAAGGGTAGGTTAAGGCCTAGGAGATTGACCTTTAGGACTTGTGATTTGTAGGGTCGGGGTCCACTGTGGGTTTTATTGTAGTTACAACTCAGAGAGCTTAAAAATGGCATATAACTAGCAGTTAATTTTTACTGTGCTCTAAGTTAGAATGCTTGTCCTGTGGTACTCTTCAGGCTTTTCTGGCCTCTTCCATTTCCTGAGACCACATTCCTTCCCCTGAACACAGGCCTCCAGAACTCAGAGCAGGGGGCAGCATAATCCTGGGCCACCTGCCCACCTCACGAGGTCCCAGCGTCCCCTTCAGCTGTGCTCAGGGGGGGCATGGGTGAAGTGGGGAAGAGAAGACCTGTGTGACTCGGCCTATGATGCCACGGTGGGAAAAGCATTGTCTCACGATGCTGGAGCCTACTGTCCTGAAGGCCCCTAGAGAGCTCCCTGGTGTTTCTACTCCAGGTGGATCAGGGAAGGCTGGCTGAGGGGCCTTGTCTTGGGAACATGTCGCTGGGGACTGAATGCATGTTGCAAACGCAACTCCCTGAGAGGTGCTGGGTGAGAGGCCGGGGGAGCTGTCCACGTGCTTTCTGGTGTTCCTGCGGGACGGCAGCAGCTCTGTCTTGCCTTCTGAGCTGTTCTTTTCTTGTGTCCTAGTTATCTCCAGCCTGAGTGGAGAGAGGTATCCAAGAACAAATGTGCTAGCTCCTGGAAATTGCTCTAAGGATCTCTCAAGGGCACGGGCACAAGGACGGTCCTAGAGGGATCTGTCAGGGGCCCCAGTTTGTCTTGGGACTCAGAGGACTAAAGACCAACTCGAAGCTGGCTTGCTAATGAGCATTCAGGTGGGCTATGACAGTGATTTAAATTCTCTGTTTCTGTTGCTCAGCTCTGGGGTGTCTCCATCTCTGGACCCTTTTGAAGGCTGCTACCCAGGGTCCCTGAAACCCTCTGTGTGCAGAGCATATGACAGTAGGGCTGAAGAGCCCACAGCTGTGGCTTCTGTCATTGCCCGGGCCCTGAGGCCAAGGTGACAGCCTCCAGCCCTTCTCTGGGGGACCCGACACTTCTGACCTGGGGCGGGGCAGCTGGCTGGAGAGTTGCTGCTGTGGGCCCAGGCTCTGGTGGCCTATGTGGGCTTGCACCTGGCATCCTGGGGTTTCCTCTCCTCTCTGCAGCCTCCTGGGATAACCTCATGGAACACTGGGCCCTCTGCCTCCAGAGGCACTAATGGAGGGTGGGACATCTGTTCAGCCTTAGGAAAGTGCTTGGCAAGGCACTCGCTCCTGGTGGCTGATGCAGTTGCAGAGGGACATGATGGAGGAGGAGATGTGCACACGCGGGTCATCCTGGCCCGTGGACAGGAGCAGGGCTGTGGTCAAAGGAGTGACCGTCTCTTGCTCCACTGAACTCTTCCCTGAGTTTGGAGCCAGTGGAGAGGCAGGCGTGGGGGTCGGCTGCAGTGCTGGTGGGGGACAGTGGCACGGAGGTGGGGCAAAAGTCAGCTTCTTATTCTTCCCCTCAAGTCTTGACCTCATGAGACCTTCTAGTAGAAAATTTGGGCCCTTGGGGCAGAAACTATTATCCAGAATTGCTCCTTACATGTGTCAAACCCCAGCAGTGGGGGCAGAGAGTGGTGACCTCCAACTGGCCTGATAGCAGCACTTGAGAGCTCACATGACACCTGATGGCTCCCAGGGGCTTCCTCACCTTCTCTCCTCTCGACGGGCTGGAGGATGGGGGAAAGGCAGATGTCCTCTGCAGCTGAGGAAACAGAGGAGCAGAAAAGTCGTGTGCTGCATTCAAGGCCCTGTAATTGATGACTAGAACCCATTACGTGTCCTAATTCTCAGCCTGCTGCTTTCCCCACGGCATTTCTCAGTGGTGTGCGAGGGGCAGACAGCTCCTGGCGCAGGGACT